GGGCCGCATGCATGCCAGGCAAGCCACATCCCCAGCCCCACAAAGTTTTATTCTACTACTTCTAAGTTCATCAAGCACTTCTAAATATATAGAAGGACTAGATATTCCACATAAGAACCTGTCCACTATTCACACAGTATTGGTAAATAAAATTGCACACACAACCATGGTTGTAAACAGAAGTATCTTCTAATATTTTGTCCTTGAACCTTTCAGTCCTCACTTCCTTTCTCTACTTTCAATCCAGTGAACAAATAGAAACATATGAATGCTTAGAGATGGTTGAGCGAATTCACACCCAAAAGTTATTGATAGAGGAAAGCTTTCCTATGAATTTCAACAGAAAAATGTACAAAATGTGATAATTTTTCTAACTACTTGGTCATACACTCTTTAACATCTAGAGATTAGATGTTACAAAACCTGGGCTCTTTTGTCCATCTATATACTAGATACACAACAAAACAAAATGCACAAAACATATAGAAAACTCATGTCTGAACATGTTTTACTTTGCTCTGTATGTAGTGTATATAAAGGACAAATGAGTCCTTTCTAGATGTTAAAGAAGTTGCCAGTGTATGACAAAAATAGAATTAAATAACAAATTGTGAATATTTTGTGTTAAAATACCTAGGAAAGATTGTCTTCTGAAAATTTCAGCATTATAACCTACTGGGTCAGTGAAGGGCCAGAATATTCACATTTTGAAGACATTTTCAAAATAGATCTATTGTTACATGTGTGCAATTTATTCAAGACTATCCTGTACACAGTGAACAAATTGAGTTCTTACTTGAAACTCCTAGTCTGTCTAGATGTTTAGAAGTGTCCATTGTATGTTAAATATAGAGGTAGTAAAATATCACTTTGCTAAAATTCATATTAAAAAATATTGTCTTTTGGGAATGGAACTGTGAAACCACCTCTGTGAGCAGTACAGTACTGTCTGTACTTGTTGAGTGATGTAGAGGAGGGCAGGAACAATTGCAAAGGGTAATATAGTCATGTGTTTATACTTAGACATATTCAGACTTCATTCCTTCTTATGACTAAATAACAACCCACTGTATGGATATACCACATTTTGTTTGTCTATTTAGCAGGTGATGAACATTTGGGTTATTTCCATTCTTTTGGCTGTTGCAAATAATACAGTCATAAACATTCCTATATGAGTCTTTGTTTGAACACCTGTTGTCAATTCTTTTGAATTGACCTAGAAGTGAAATTGTTGGCCTAACTTTTTTAAAAAATTAATAATAATCTGGGTGTTAGGGAATTAGGCTACTCATTGCTGAGTTGGTCATTTCCCCTAACATTAGGAAGATAGATAGGATGAGTTCATAAACTTAACCATTTCTATGTTTCATCTGTATCTCTTCTTTTCCATAACAAAAATTCTGGTTCCCCAGGACAAAAGAGAAGATTAAGTAGACTATCTTCATTAATTACCTATTTGTTTAATCCTGAATCACACTACAATCTTTTTTGTAAAGGAAAAATATAATTTCTTTATTTGAAAAATGATACTTAGGGTTTGGGGTTGTGACTCAGTGGTAGAGTGCTTGCCTAGCATGTGTGAGGCACTGTGGTTCAATCCTCAGTACTGCACATAACTAAATGAGTAAAATAAAAGTCCATCAACAACTAAATTTTTAAAAAATGATACTGAACCTTAGAGGTCAGTTAAATTTACTGCTGTAATGAGGATTCTTTTTAAACTGTGTTGTTCCCTCTCTTCAAACAGCTGGAGCTGTACACAGATGGAAAAACGTTTGTTCAGTGTTTTTCAGGACCCAATGCAGTCCCCACAGCTCTGCATTTGTCTAGATTTTATTTCTTCTTTGCATCGATATTTTTTCAGACCCAATGTATGCCATTCTGACTCTCTCTCCTGTGCTGAGCAAGACTGGATCATGGATGGTGTGCAGACTCAGTCCTTCCTCAGTTTCAGAGGCAGGGGCCACTATGAGAAAATCCTGCTTATTAGCAAAGATAAGCACTGACATGCAACTCAGCTTTTCTTCCTCCAGTAATTCAGCTAGTTCCTGACCACTCTCTTCAAATCTTTTTCTGTCTGTACTGTTAATTAAATATATAAGGATATCAGTATTTTCAAAATAAGTCCTCCAAGATGATCTGATTTTCCTCTGTCCACCAGTGTTCCATACAGTTTAAAACCCTGTGATTTGTGATTGTACACTTCTGATGTTAAAACCCTGTGTAGAGGTGATATGGATGATGTCTTCAGACATAAGCTGCTTCAGCAGAGTAGTCTTGCCAGCATCATTCAAGCCCAGGAGAAGGATTCTCATTTCCTGGTCTGGTGCACTTTTCAACTTGTGCAAAATGAAGAGTAAGCCCGTCTTCCCACTGAGTCCCTCTTCCTCCTCCTCCTATCTCCCTAACTACCACATCACACTATAATATTAAAAGAATAATACTTTTTTTTTTTTGGTACTGAGGATTGAACCCGGAGGGGCTTTATCACTAAGCTAAATCCCCAGCCCTTTTTTTATTTTTTATTTTGAGACAGGATCTCACTAAGTTGCCTAGAGCCTCACTAAATTGCTGAGGCTTGCCTCAAACTTGCAATCCTCCTGCCTTAACCTCCAGAGTTGCTGGGATTACAGGCCCACACCACCATGCCCAACTCAAAAGAGCAGTATTAATATTACCATTACCAATATGATTACTGAAAATAGGTTTAATAAATTGTTTTGTGTGTGCTGTTTCCATTCCTCCTTCCCCATCTTTTTTAAAGTGAATCTTTTTTTCTACCATTTTAACCTGCATAACCCATTGGATTTTAGTATATTCATGAGGTACAACCATCACCACTATCTGATTCTAGAATACCAATACCTCTATCACCCCTAAAAGAAACCCTGCAAAAAAAAAAAAGGAAAGAAAGAAAAAGAAACCCTGCACCTCTCATTTCCCTTACTTCCCATTCCCTGGCAAACGCTAATCTGCTTTCTATTTCTACAAATTTGCATTTTCTGATATTTCATGTAAATAGAATCATGCAACATGTCCCCTTTTTTCTCTAGCTTCTTTTACTTAGCATGTTTTCAAGGTTTATCTATGTTATATGTTATTTAAAAAAAATTGGGGGGTTATCAGGGATTGAATTCAGGGACACTCGACCACTAAGCCACATTCCCACCCTATACTGTATTTTAGAGATAGGATCTCACTGAGTTGCTTAGTGCATCACTTTTGCTGAGGCTGGCTTTGACCTTGAAATCCTCCTGTCTCAGCCTCCCAAGCCACTGGGATTACAGGTGTGTGCTACTGCACCTGGCAACATATGTTATTTTTTAAAATATATATATATATATATTAGTTGTAGATGAACACAAATTATCTTTATTTATTTTTATGTGGTGCTGAGGATCGAACCCAGGGCCTCATGCATGTGAGGAAGCTACAGCCCTAGCCCCCAACATATGTTATTTTTTAAGTACCAAAAGCTCATCTCCACACACAAAGAGTTTGCTCCCGCTGATTTCAGTTTGTTCCTTATGGTGACCTGAAACCTTTGGTGAGTGGGAGCCATGTGCATATGCCAGACAGCATGAATGGCAACTGCTACCCAATGTTCAGGAGGCAGGATGGGCTGGGATATGGCTGGGAGAAGGTCAAATCCCAAGATGTGTCTCCCCTTAGCCTCTTAGTCAGAATGGCTCCTGGTGATGTGGGTCTAATTTCCACCTCTACAGGATACTGCAACTCTGCTCTCCCAAATGGATGGGGATTTTCAGCATTGAAATGTGGGCTAATGTGAACACCACAGTCAAAGACCTTGTTCTCCACCTGATTAGCTTTGGGGTATATTATGTCTGCAGAATCAGAGCATGAACACAGGGGAGCAAGTTACAATCTCTGAGCTGAGATCCCTTCTAGTGAGATTGCTTCCTGTTCTTCATAAAAGGCTTAGCTGAGATATCCCCAAGACTTGGGAAATCTCTCAGCATCCCCTTTCCCAGCCAGCCCCACCAAAAAATAACATATTGCCACCAGAGCCCTGGACCCTCCCCTCCTATGTGCATGTCAGGTAGAGCCCTGATCACCATAAATTGAGTCAGTCTCCTCAACCAGTCTGGGAGACTCTTGAAATCAGAGATGGTTGTTTTCATTTTCTTTTTCTTTTTCGGTACTGGGGGTTGCCACCAGGGGCGCTTTACCACTGAGTCATATCCCCAGCCCTTTTTATTTTTTATTTTGAGAGAGGGTCTCAATAAATTGCTGAGGCTGGTCTCGAATTTGCAGTCCTCCTGCCTCAGCCTCCCAGAATAGCTGGGATTACAGGCCTTTGCCACAGTGCCCTGGCCAGAGACTGCTTTATTCATCTTGTACTACCAGTGTCTGCTTCAGAGAGAACTCTCCACGAAAGTGTAATAAGTTAGAGAAGGAGGAAGTCAGTGAAGTGACAGTCTTGTTCCCTACACAGGCTGCCTGAGAGCAGTGACTTCACCTGTCCACTGCCAGCTTCCTTTCGTCCCCCCAATAGGAAAACCTAGCACAAGACTGGGTGGGAGGTGACATGCACACGACTAATGGCTTCTTCCAGACTCAGAAAAACACTCATCCATGGGACTTGTGGGTAACATTTTTTATTCAGTTCAATTAAATATTTCCTGCACATTTCTGGATGCTTACATTAGAATTGTATCTATTGCAACAAATAAATGGTTCTTAAGCTCTTATATATGACAAATGCACACATGTAACTACAATGTAAGCTAGAATTAAAAGGTCATTGTATACAAACTTTTTTTGTTTAAAGTTGTAGATGGACACAATACCTTCATTTATTTTTATATGGTGCTGAGGATCAAACCCAGTGCCTCATACATGCCAGGCAGGTGTTCTACCACTAAGTCACAACCCTAGCCCCAACATTTTGTTTTTTTAGTTGTAGTTGGACACAATACCTTTATTTTATTTCTTTATTCGTATGTGGTCTGAGGATTGAACCCAGGGCCTCACATGTGCTAGGCGAGTGCTCTACCACTGAGCCACAAACCCCAGCCACTGTATACAAACATTTTAAAAATAATATTTTATTCTGACATAGAGAAAGGAGACAAGGAGAAGGTGATTGAAACACCACTCCTCTCTCTAGTCCTGGTCCTAGTGTCAAGACAGTCCACACAGTTTCTCTGCTTTCTGCTCCTCTTAGACACAAGTATTGGCCCTTCCTGAACAGAAACTGGAGTCTGACAAACAAGAGACCCTGTTTGCTCCTGTCTGGAGATAAGGCAGACAAAGGCGATTGCCCCCAGGCATGGTATCTCAGACCCCTGCAGTCAGAGTCTAGGCCTCAGGGCTCTCAGGTCCACAAGAGCGCACCTGTGCCTGAAAGTGCTCACAGCGGGGATGCTTTACTGTCAGCCCATAGATGGGGGTCATGTCCACCTTCATGCCCGGTGACACACTGAATTCCAGCTGCTGCATAAGAATGGCCATGAAGAGAAAGATCTCTAAGCGGCCAATGGTCTCTCCGATGCATTTGCGCTTGCCCAAGCCAAAGAGAATGACCTTCTCACTCAGTGTCTTGTCCACAGTGCCACCGGAAGTGATAAACCGTTCAGGCCGGAACACAGATGGGTCACCCCACAGCTTCCTGTAACCAGACAGAGGCAGCTGAGGTGGCATCTCAGGAAGTATCAAGTAGGTTGAGTCCCAAAGGACAGGGAATGGGCAAGTGGCCCATAAATAGGAAGATCCGAAGCTCAGGACAGGGTGGGCCCAGCCCGCCCTGGCGTTTGGCCATCCCTCTCAACTTACTGGTCATGGTTGATCTGCCACTGGTTCACAAAGACACAACGCCCCTTGGGGATGTAAAAGCCATTCAGATTTGTGTCTCTTGTAGTGCTGGGGAAGGAGGAAGTTCAGTCAGGCTCAGGGTCTCATGGGAATCCCCCTGTCTCCCGTGCCATATCCCTTCCTCCTGATTGGGTGTAGAAACTAGACTAAGGCCAGAATCAGATGACAACTGGCCTGTGAGGCTTCACCTGTGGGGAATGGTGAAGGGGACGAAGGAGGAATGTCGGAAGAGCTCCAGGATAAAGGCCTCCATATAGGGCAGCTGGAGTCTGTCAGAGAGCCGGGGCCGCCGTTCCCTGCCAATCACTGTGTCTGCAAAACACAAAGGTCTGGATGTACTAAGGGGCTTCCCAGACTTTGACAGTGTCCCCTGCCTGGAACCCCTTCAACTGAGTCACCACCTACCTAGTTCCTCCTGGATCTTTCTCTGAATCCTAGGGTTTGTCACCAGGTACATTAAGCCCCAGGAGATGGCAGTTGTGACTGTGTCAAACCCTGGAGAGGGTAGAATACAGAAGTTAGGCAGGTGGCAGATCAGGGTACATGGACATAGCAATAGCACAATGGGGTAATTCTTACCAGCTCCAAAGATGTCCAAAACGACATTAATGATCTTCTCATCCGAGAGTTGAATATTGGCATTCTCATCCAGCTTCCTGTCCTGACAGTGCTCAATCAGGCTGTCTGTGATATCCCGGATGTGACCCTGGGTAGGAAGGACACACAGGTGAGCAAGATCCTAGGATCAGACTTACCTCTCCATCTGGGCCTGGTTCCTCACCATTGCTATCACTAGCACCTTTGTTCAAAGGTGACACTCCCTGCAGCTGCTATCCCCACTTCTCTCTGCCTCTCCAAGGCCCTTTCCTACTTTAGAATACTGGTAGCCCCAACCCAAGGGACCCCTGATGCAGAGTCTGGTACTGTCATCATCTGCATGTGCTTTTAAAATTTCTTCTATTGTGAGGCCAGGAGACTAACTCTTCCTGATTCCTGCAACAACTGACCCAGATCCTGAATGGGGTGGCTATTCAGTGGCTCTTGCTCTCTGATGGAAGCATAGAAGGGCTAATCAAGAAAAGTTCTATTTTCCTGCCAAAGAAGGAGTCCATTCCACTAACAGATTCTAATCCCTAGGATGAAGCCTCCCTGAGAACCTGCCAAACCCCATGCTGTTCCTCTTATCTCTGCTTCCCATCACCCACTTGCCTCTTCCTAGGCTTTACCTTCTCAAATTTTCTGTAGTGCTCCTTGACCAGCTTCCCAACGAAGTGTTCAAACTTCTTATTCAGGTCCTTGAAGCCATCCAGGGTAGGGTTGGGCAGGTAGCGGAGGATAGGGATGAAGTCAACTGGGTATCCAGAGGCAGCCACCTCCCCAAACTCATTATTCAGGTCGACTAGATCAAGCAGCTCTTGGTTGTTATGGTCATAGCGCTGGCCAAAGCAAATGGCGCAGACGACATTGGCAACTGACACCACCACATATCTGTAGGGGTCAAAGTGCCCAACATCTGCCATCAGCTCCTGGAACTTGCTGATTAAGCACTCAGCCTCCTTGCTCACATGCTCCTCCAAGTAGCAGGAGGAGGCAGAAGTGGGGTCCGAGGCTGTGGAGAAACTCTTCAGGGCACTCTGGGCCAGGCGCCTGCGGGCAGCCCACACTGGTCCAGAGTCTGGGCTGAAGGTCATGCTCTTGCCATCAGTAACAAAAGTGAAGGTGTAGAGGTCTGGCCGGCCCTTGAAGTCATCACCCTGCCTCACTAGGGCCTGATGGATGGTGTCCAGGCCACTCAGCACCACCACAGGTGTGGTCCCAATTCGGATCTGCAGCACGTCCCCATATTTCTGGCTGAGCTTTGCCAGAGCCACCTGAGGGTTCTTCCCTAAGGTCAGCATGTGCCCTATCAAGGGCCAGCCCCAGGGCCCTGGTGGACTCTTTAGGCCTTTGGGGACCCGAGGCCTTGAGGCTCTGACCACCCAGAATACCAGGCAGAAGATGGCAGCAGCCAGGAGCAGCTCTGTGGCTGAGATAGAGAGCGGGAGTCCACCAGAAAGCATGATCTGTGGAGGGATCTTCCAGGTGGCTGCTGATAGGAAAGGAAAAAAAAATAATCAAGCCATCAGATGGAGGATGGGAGAAGCCAATATCCTAAAATGTCAATATGCTGGTCAAAGAAAGGAGAAAACTTCTCAGTCAGAACTGCTCACTGGGCACGAAGAAGAGAAGGGAGTTGACAGAAACTGTTAAGTATACCAAGAATTTCAGTAATTTGTCCGTCAGTCTTGGCCATAAGCTACAAGGGAGGCTGCAGTGAGACAAAGAGAGGTTAAGTAATTTGTTCAATGTCACACAGGAAGTGTTAGATATAGACTCCCCACCTGCTTTCAGAACACTTTCTTGGTACTGGGCATGGAACTCAGGCCCTTGCACACGCTAGGCAAGCAGTCTACCACTGAGCTACACTCCCAGTCTATTTTATGTTTTATTTTGAGATAGATAGGCTAACCTTGAATTTGCCATCTTCCCGCCTCAGCCTTCCAAGAAGCTGTGATTATAACTCTCACAACACCTTCTATTAACTGCTGTACCAATTTAAAACAGAATCTTCTAATCTTTCTCTGTGGTTTTCATATAGTATCAGTACTATCATTTGCTTCCCATTATTTTTCCCCACAAACATATTCAAATAAACATATAACAATATGGGTCACCTCAAGACCCTTTGTGTCCTTACACCTGGGAAAACCATGCTCTCTCAGGAATTAGGGATCATCTGCTCCTTTGGCTTCATTTCACATTTGGGGAAACTGACCTATAGAGGGAACACTGACTTGCCCATCATCACCCAGAAATCAGTAAGAGTCAGGACTCAGAACTCTCAGGGAAAGCTTCCTGGAGTATCCACCTGCTGTCACAGGAACCTCCTTTGAAGATCAATGAGAGAATGTCCCCCAGAACCTTGTTCTCTACTGCTCAGGACCTAAGGAATCCTGCCAAACCCTGGGGCATAGTAGGGAGGGGACAGGAGACAGAAAGGCTATTGCCCAAGCCACACTGTTCTCAGTCCCAGCTCTCTGAGTTCAATTGCTCCACAGTTTAAAAGTAGTTGAAAAACAGTCAGATTGAGTCCCCAGTAACAGAAATCCAGAATATATTTTTGTTGTACTCAATTCTTAATGAATAGGTTGGCTAGGCTACCCCACACACACCTTTGCAAGTCACCAAAAGGACAAAGAATAAGTGGACAGTTCCCACCAGGTCAGGGCTGTAAGAAAACTGCAAACTGGAGTAAGGGAAATCAGGAATGGATCTGAATTTAACAGAAGCTGAGAAAAGACCTTCTGGGCTTGCCCTAGAAAGGATGTACAAATTCACAAACCACTCTCTCCCAAGCATCAGGCTTTGCCTGGGGCATCTGCTAGAGAACTAGACTAGAGGTCAAGAGAGCCAGTGTCTAGTCCAAATGGCCTTGGATTAGTTGTTTTACCTTTCTGGGTTCCGATTACATAACCTGCAAAAGAGGGTAAGATAATATTTCCCAATTCAGAGTGCTCAGCTGCTTTCTAGGAAAGAGAAGACCCCGATCTGCCCTGGGTAACCTCACAGTCTTGCCTGCAAGGTTTCCTTAAAAGAGAACCACACAAGACAAGATGTAGGCTCCTCTCTCAAGCACTACAGCTGCCTCAGGGGTGGGGAGGCTTCCTGGAGGAGCTGAATCCCCAAAGACTATAGATCTCTGATTCCCTTAGTGAGATGGGGATATTGCCAGCCTTGGTGTGCCATGGTATTCCCTTCCACACAATAAATGCCCCAAGGACCTCCAGACTTTAAAATATAGTAAAAGGCCAAGGGGGATATGACTGGTGAGTTTTCAGGGACTGGTATTTCTAGCTCCTTGCATCAAACTGATGGTCTCATAGCAAAGAACAACAGGAGACAGTTGACAGAGTAGAAAAGGCTCCTGGACTCCTGGTCAGATCAACCTCCCCACCCCCTACTGGGGATTGAACCTAGGGGCACTCTGTCACTGAGCTATATCTCTAGCCCTAAGTTTTCCAGACTGAACTTGGACTTGCAATCCTCCTGCTTCGGTCTCCTGAGTACAGTGTGCTTCTGTGTGCCTGGCTTGTGATCAGCCCCTCTTGACCAGGCCAGGGCATCTCAGCTCTGATAAGCCACCCTTGGAGGGTAGAGACCATCAGGGCTAGCAGAGTACAGCAAGTAAGAACCCATCCCATGCCCTCATTCACCCCTACCCACCCAGGGAGAAGGTCGACCCCCAATGTCACACACTCTGAGGGAGGGATTACACATACTCCCAGCTTCCCTCAGCTGTGTGTCCTCTTCCAGGATCCCAGATAGCCCCAGAGTTGTCAGGGAGTCAATGGAGATGGAGAGGAAGCATAGGTCCTGGAATCCTGAAAGGAGGGTGTCTATATCTAAAGATTTGTTGCTAACCATGGGACCCTGGGCAAGTTCTTTTCTTCTCTGGCCTCAGTTTCCCCTCTAAGGGTCCAGACTACCTAGTCACTACAGTTGCTCTTAGCCTCCTTTTTTGGTGGTGCTAGACTAGCTGCTACCTAGAAAGACTTGGAGTCATCAAAAAAAATTTTTTTTAGTGGGAGGGAAGGAGCAAGACAGAAGCTGCCCATCACTCACCTGCTGCTGCCTCCGAGGAGGTGCTGAGCTAAGTACAGTGGTCTGTGGGGCAGAGACCCCAAAGAGGTTCAGGAAAGGCTCCAGGGAACTGCCACCTTCAGGTTGAGGGTGCAGACACCACTACCTTTATAGGAGGCTGTGCGTGCGGCCACGCCTCCTTCTCTGAAGCTCCGGGACGGGACAGAGGGAGGAGCAGGGAGGGGGATGGTCGCTTCAGGAAGGAGAAGTGGGTAGGGGTATAGATGAGAACCCACTACAGGAACCTCATCTAGGTACTGGCACGGAAGAGGGTGAGGACTGGGGACACTTGAGACCCCCCACTTTCATGGACAGCCCCAGAACTCAGCCAAGGGAGGGGTTTGATGGAGAAGTCCCAGACAACCTGAAGAGAGGGTATGGGGGCTCCATCCTGGAGCACCTGTACTCATCTCCATCATTTTTACGCCCATCAGAACACAGGGTGGGCAAGTGCTTTTCTACCCACTATAAGCCAATGGGTGGCAGGCAGACAGGGGCAGGGTCGCTGGATGGTGACTACCTTCCCCGGGGCTAGTGAGTCCCAGCTTGCATGAGAAGCTCAGCGACCCTAACCCCAAGGTCACCGGGCCCAAAAGGCCACAAGCGCCCTGTTCTCCCAGAGCCTGGACGGCCAGTAGAAGTTTGCGCTCCTTGATGGAGGGGCGGGAATAGATGGTACGGCGTGTAGTCTAGCTGAGCGCTAACGGCTCGCTGCCACCTCCTAGGGGCACCTTAGGTTGCAACGCAGGGACACTTCCACCCGGGACCCACCCGCCCTCGAGCTTCCCTCTTGATTCCCAGGACTGCTACAGCTTTGATTGGCGATACAGAGAAACTAGGCGGCGAGTGGGGCTTCGTGCGGGTGGCCAACGAGAGGGTTAGGAGTCCCGGGGCGAGGTAGAGGGTGGGAGCCTAGGAACCGGGAGGGGGCGCCCGGCGCGCAGCTTCCCCAAGCTAGCTCGCGTGCGCCTGCTACATCCCTCCAGGGGGCAGAGGTCGGGCCGCCCATCCCGGCCCCACCTGGCCCGGGGCGCGGTGCCCTAGAGTTGCGTGAGAAGAGCCCAGAGGCTTGCACAGCCACCCAGACGCCCAACTCCCCGGCTTGGCGCGGGTCTCGGCACAGTCACGCGAGGCGGGGGAGGGGTATCGGGGGCGTGGCTCTTAAAGTGCCAGTCTGCAGGGCGTAGGGCTGGGGGGTGGAGGTAGAGAGAAGAAAGCGTCGCGAGTGCGCGATTGGATGGAGCGGCACTGGCGGTGCAAAGGGCCAGGGTTTGCGTGCGGAGTAGGCTTCTGCATGCCAGGAAGGTCTGCATATGTCCACATTTTTGGTCCACGCCTGCGGCAGAACACGCAGTCCCTGTGCTGCCCTGCACGCCTGGCTTTCTGCCTTGGAGGCAGGGTCAGGACCCCTACGGAGCTCTCTTCATGCGATATATCCAGAGAGAAAAGTTTTATTCGCGTGTCTAGCTGAGCCTGTCCCCAATTAACACCACTCTCCTTCTCTCACTGGCTCCGGAACTCAGCACTGTCATGTATCCTGTAACCCAGGCCAGAAAACAACCTCATTAGCCCCTTCACGTCCCACTCCAGTCAGACACCACCTCATGCAATGCGCAAATATTTACCAAGCGCCATGTGCCTGGCACTATTCTGAGCCGGTGACTGATATAGAGGTGAACAAAACTGACGAAGCTCCAGCTCTAATGGGCCTTACATTCTGATGGGGGAAACAGCTAATAGATAAGCAAATGCAGAGAATAGCAGCAGGTGAAAAATGCTATAGGAAAAAGTAAATGAGCATAGAAGGGGTAAGAATGACAAAAAGATGTGCAATTCCACATAGGGTGGTTGGCAAACGACTCGCTGAGATGACACTGAACAGAAGCAGAAGTTTGCAATCAAGAATCTAGGTGCACAGGTATCTGGACGAAGAGTGCACAAGCAAACGGAACAGAAATATGATATGTCAAGAGCTATGTAATGTTTTGAACAACTAATAATAAAAAAATAAATAAATAATTTAAAAAAGGAGACAGAAAAAAAAAAAGAAGCCTTGCACATTTGCTTCTAGAGACGGGTGGTAATTCCAGAGACCAACGGAAATGTGTGGGGGTCGTGGGAATTCTCCTGCCATCTAGTTCCCTGTGGGGAAGGGATGAGATGCCAGGGGGGGACCCCGACACCTGTGCAGGGAGCACACCATTAAGAAACATGAGTCTTCCTCCATGTGAGATGGAAATTTTACTGGGGTCTGAGCTGAGCAATCACTCTGGCTCCTGTGCCCAGAATATACTAAAGAGGCAAGGACACTTCTCCATTTCTTCCCCAAGGAGCCCTTTTCAGAAATGCAAAACCTCTTGGGACTGGGGCTGGGGCTCAGTGGTAGAGCACTTGCCTAGCAAGTGTGAGGCACTGGGTTCGATCCTCAGCATTACATAAAAATAAATAAATAGAATAAAGACATTGTGTCCATCTACAACTAAAAATTATTTTTTAAAAATGCAAAACCTCTTTCTGTCACCACCCTTTTAAAACAGAGTTGGCATCTCAGGACAGAAACAAGAATCTTTAGCAGAATGTACCAGGTCTGCCAGCCTCTACTCCTAAGTCCCCCCTACTCTGAGCCTCAGATAAAACATCACTTCTTCCAAAATGCCTTCCTGAATCTTCTCCACAGCAGATCAGATTTCTCCTGGTCTCCAGTTCTAACACCTTTCTCCAAAATAATTCTCAGTATTTTTGACATTTACTATGAACCAGACCCAAACTTGCCACTTCTTTCTGGTTTTACAGAAAATCAACCTGTGGGAAATTGATTTGATGTGCCAAGTTCAGGTAAGGCATGAATGTCTGGTAAAGGAATTGGACACAGCAGTATTATAGATGGTGTACACCTCAAAAGTGACGTGGAACCCAAAGTGCTAATGCTATCATAGTGGTACTAATGCTCTAATGGTGGCGCTTGGGCAACAGAATAGGCAGGAAATAAGGGAGCTGGGCTCTTTCAGAATTCTTCTAGTAATTCCACTCCATACATCCTGACTCCACCTGAGAAGAAGTCTGGCCTTCTGTTTTAGTTGGAACTAGAGCTATAGAGAGTAGAGTGAGCCCATGTGGAAGCCATGGAAAAGAAGTGAGAAGCAAAGCAGTCCCAGACTTCCAAGCCTGTTCTGCAGCCTACAAACCTTTCCCTCAATTTGCCTCAGTCTCCACCAAAGCCCCAGCTTGAGAGACTCATGGCAGCCCACTCAGCAGGGCCTAAAGGCTATCTAGTGCTGGGGCTCCTGGCCAGGGACCCAGGAAATCCTTGTTCTTGGTGCTCTGAGTTACTCATGTTCTCTTGACTCCAAACAAATTCATTAACAAAGTTAACAAAGCCAATTCCTTCTCAGGTGGAGACCCTAATGCCAGGAAGGAAAAGGTCCAGTGACATGTGGCAAATCAACTAAGAACTCTGATTTCTTGCTTCCAGGCCAAGGCGCTTCCTGCTGTGATTTTCTGTCCAAGATTAGAAGCAAAACCATAGGGGGCCAAAGGGGACAAGATCAGGGCCTGGGCCAGGGCTTCCATTTCCCCAGACCCTGGAACAGGAGGAGTCAGGTGCCCAGGGATTGCAGGAGGCCTTGCACTTTGCTTTAGCCAGCCCTGTCTGAACTAATAGCCACAAAGTCAGGAGGGAGCCCTTACTGAGCCCTGGACAGAAAAGAAGGTTGAGTGGCAGGAGGTTTGAGGACCTTGGCCTGGAGCTGAACACCCAATCCTGGGTCAAAGTTTGCATGCCTTTGCGTGAGAAGGTTTTTGGCTAGAATTCCCTGCTGATTGATACCAGGAACTTAGGGGAAGGGGGCAGTGAGGAGGAGAGAGGACTCTCTGGGCTGGAGGAATACAGACAGCTGAGGGTCTTAGCCTGGCAAATCTATTGTGCCTAGAGTCTTCAATTGGCACTGCTGAGGTCTATGTGGCAGGGGGTTGGGAGACAGACAAGACCCATAACAAAGTCCTCCCCTAAATGGAGACAGGAGCCACACCCCACACAGAGCCTGTGCTGAGCGTGGAGATGCTATGGAAGCCAAGAAGGCTGGGAGAGTGGCAGAGGCATTTAAGGGACCTGGAGAGGGAAGAGCTGGAGAAGAGTCTCAGAGGCAATGAAAGTGCTTTTACCTGGTAAGGCACAGGCAGCATGCATGGCATGAAGAGAAGCATGGGAGACCAGGCAGGGAGTATTGTTTTGGAAAGAGTGGAGTTTGGGTGGATGCCCAGAGCTGGGACTGTCTCCCAGTATATCCTCACCCCACTCAGTGACCCTCTAACCACAGCTAAGATCTGAGCCCTGAGTACCTTCCCCTCCTCTCCTTCCTGTTCCCAGGGAGCCGTAGAGATTTAAGTTGCAGGACTGGGAGTCAAATGAGGCAACCCTTGGCTCCTTGGCTCTTGGCTGCTATAGTTAAGGTGACAACACTCACGTGGGACAGTCTTGGTCTGAGCCTGTTGTCTTGGCATAATTATTAAAAGCGCCCTCTTTCATTCTGAAAAGATATGATAATAAGTTTTATGATTACCCCAGTGATAATCGGTATCTGAGGGGTTTGTGGAACCCAGCATCCATTCTCCCTTCTTTTGGTAATACCAAGTCATTTGTCCTTAGGTGAACATTCAAACCATTATTCTCAGTCATTAGGTTTTGTACAGCTGATCCCACCCCCGGCCAAGACCATGAGAATTCTGTGTTTTAAAGAAGTCACTGGAAAAAGGAGGTTCTCCTGCCAGAAGTGGCTATGCTGGTTGGAAAATAAGTCTGAAGTCTGGAGTTTTCAGTGGGCATGTTTAAATAAAATCACTGAGGAGAGGGAGAAAGGGAAAGTCTGGAGGACATTAGGCACCTAGATCCAGTTATTCCTGAAACCATTGAAATTTACCACCGAACGTCCCTGTTATATGAACTAAATCACCATCACTTCTCCTGTCTCCTCCTATCCCTTCTTTTTCCTTCTTTCTCCTTTTCTTCCTTTCCTCCTTTTCCTGTTCTAGTATGAGTTGGGTTTTGAGAATGTGCAACTACAAGAATCATAACCCAAACCTGCCACCCTCGGAGTTGTACCCAGCAGAGCTCTCTGGTGGCTGAATCTTGGCATGTGCATGCCCCTAGAAGACCTACCCAGGTTGGACAGAGTCCTAAGAAGTTACTCCTGTCTAACAGCTTCCCAGTGCTCTGCCCCTGTGCCTGAATGACCCCCATCAGAACTGCTTTTAGAAGCTACTAACTGTATCTTCAGAAGTCCCCACAATGTTGGTTTGTTGGCTGGCCAGTGCCTGTGGGAGAACCCCTGCGTGAGGCGGAGTTGGCCAGTTGAGTCCACGCCACATCACTGCCATTCCTCCCACTCTCCCAGCTGCTGGAAGCAGAGCTCACCTCCATGTTGGCTGGAGGTTCTTGGCTAGAGGATGCCCTAGGAAGCAAGTAGCTGTCACCAAGTCCCTGCTGCCCCATTTGTTCTCTGCCTCTCTCAGTCCTCAGCCCTACAGCTCCTGGCTAAGAAGGGGATGCCAGCCTTTCCCCAAGTTCAGGACTGGCAATGGTAAAATTTTCAGGAGGAGTTTTCTGAGGAGGTTCAGGGGGAAACAATCCTTACGATGGTCTGCAAAGCCTTCTGGAACTGATTCCTATTCCTTCCCTGACCTCCTGTCATGTTACTC